CAGAGTGAGATTTGTTGGCGAAAACCCATTAACAGGGACTTTTTATAGAAAGATGATACAAATCAAATTCACTTGCTATGTGATTTTTGTGTGTAGAATTGTTGTATTTGGGTTAAATCCATAAGTTTGTATAGTTTATGAGCATTACTGTAAAATAAACACAAAAACTTCAGCTCCTCGTGGCTAAAAAGAGTTTATAAAAAGTTCGTATAGGCCATAACTTGTAAGTGCTATTTGTGAACAATTTAAAATGGAAATATTGCAATTTTTTCTCATGGCCTTTGATTGGGGAGGTTGGGAAGTTAACCAGAGGATAGACATGAACATACAACAGTAGAAGAATCAACTTTGAGTGAAAAAAGACAGACCAATCAGGAGATTAAAAGCAGAGTCCTGTGCTACTTCCTCATGTGCATAAAACTTATATGATTTGAACCTTCGATACAAATTCGTCAATGCTTATATCTGTAGAGCCTCCTTCACTGAGTGACATGACAGCCAAGTCTCTCCATTTTTTCGCGTTCTTCTTCATCTCTTTGCTCTCTTCTCCTTCCATCACTTCCTTAATGCTAAACTCAATCTCCTCTCTTTTGGCAATCCCACTTTCTTTCTCTGTCTTCACACGAACTCCAACCTTCCACACATCTTGTATATACTTTGCATTCATCGGTTGATCGGTCCATTGAGGCATAGCCACCATAGGGACACCTAAAGTCAATGCCTCCATGGTTGAGTTCCATCCACAGTGAGTCATGAAACAACCAATTGCTTTGTTTGACAGAACTTGAAGCTGAGGACTCCATTTCAAGACCAAGCTCTTGTCTTTATCCACTGTCTCAAGAAACCCTGATGGGAGTTTTGTCTCCTCTGAAGCTCTGACCACCCACAGGAAGCTGAAGTTGCTTATTGCTGAAGCAATCTCTTCCATTTGCACACTACTTAGCTGAGCCATGCTCCCAAACGCTACGTACACCACTGACCCTTGTGGCCTTGTGTTTAGCCAGGTAGCGCATAAGGACGCTTCTTTTGAGTCAAAGAGGTTCAGATCGTAGTCGGTGTCTGATTTTATCTGTTGGTCTAAGTACATCGATGGAACAGTCGGTCCGATTGTCAACACAGGCCAAACTTTCGAAAACAACTCCTTTTCCTGGGAACAAATACAGAGTAACTAGGTCACAAAACAGAGTAACCAACCGAACACAAAGGCAAAAAAACAGAGTAATTAGGGCAAAAAAACAGGGGAAACAGAGTAATTATGCCATTAAGGGAAAAAGAGTAATAAAGACACAAGTTAACTAACATGAGGGTCAAGCTCCTGGAAGGTATTCATGAGTACACAATCAGCTTTGTCGAAGTTAGTGAACTGTTGAAGCACCATCTCAAAGTAAGCAAGGTGAGAAACAGTAGGAGTGACGAAAGTAGGCAAATCTTGAAGCTCAAGAAAAGGCAAATCCTTGATGGGAAGTTTCAAGCTTCCGTTGTTCATGCAAGAAAGATAGTTAATATAGTTAACGGCGCAATTCTGCGTGAAGAAAGGAGCCGCGGCTAAACCGAACTCTCTTGCAACGTCAAGCGCCCAAGGCATGAAAGAATCGTAGACGATACAAGTGATTGGGTCGTCACTAGCCTGATGCTTGCGGATGACGTCAGCGACGGTTTCAGAGCCAAAGGTTTTGAAGTTTTGGAGGTATTCATGGACGGATCCAGCTGATGAGAAGCCGCCGTGGTCGTAGCCGTCGGAGATTGTGGCTATGGAGACCTGACTAGAAGGGTCGAGGTGGATTGTGTTGAAGATGAAATTGGTGAGAGTGTGAGTGGTTTTGAGACCTTTGAAGTGAAGTCGTTTGCAGAATTGACGAATAGGTGTGATGTGTCCTTGGCTTGGGAATGGCACAGCTAATACATGTCCTCTCTTCTTCTCCATT